TAGGGGAGCCCGGGCCCTCCCACTCCATTAGGATTTGACCCAGGGCCCGTGGGGGCTATCTGTCCTCTGACAGCAAAGGTGGTGTGACGAGCTGGACCTCCCCCCCCCCCCCTGTATGCCACCTGATTTATGGGGTTTCACAAAGCCATTCTTGATGCACCAGCCTGGATTCCCTCTCCCTGTTTTGCTGAATTAGGCTCTCTGGCCTCTTGCTGCAAACACACCCAGGTAGGGAAACACCCTGCTGCAGACACAGACTGAAGTCAGCTCTGTATGAGAGGACTCACCCAGCACTCATGTGCCCACCCCTCTTCGGGGATAAACCCAAAATAATAAAGTTTTCAACTGTATGGAATGTTCTGCACAGTGCAAGCTCATAAATATCACCCAGTCCCTCAGTGTGGAGAGTGATGTGCACAGCTTCTTGCAACTCTCAGATATGAATTTCACACCCTGGGTTATGTCATACACAAGAAATAAGTTTATTAACTACAAAAGGTAAGTTTTAAGTGATTATGAGGGATAGCAAACAGATCAAAGCAGATTACCTTAATAAATAAACAAAAAACGCAAACTGAGCTGAACACACTGGACAGGTAAGACATAAATTAGCAAATTCTCATGCTAAGTGATAAACAGCCTGGCAGTTTCTTAAGGCACAAGTTGCCTTGGCTTTCCTAGGTTTTCATTCGCAGGCTGAAAATCCTTATTGGCGGGGACTATCACTTCCCACAGTTCAGTCTTATTTTCTCAGGTGTTTCCCATTGGGTAGTGTGATCTCTGAGAGGTTTCTATTGTACACATTTCTTTGTGCTTGTGTGTATTTCCTCAATAAGCCATTAACATTTTTTGACTTTTTTACTGTCATACCCGAAAGGCTGCTGGTGGGGGTTTGTTTCAGCAACACATTCATAGGCACACTTCAAAACTTCACACACGATAATGGCATATCCGAGATATTACCATCTAGCAGATCAAGACTTTTAGAATGACACATCACAAGGCATACTTTAAACAAAACATACCCTAATTACATGACAGTGGTGAATATTGGTGTCTCAGGGTGTAAGAGGCAACCTTCCCTGGGTCACTTCTTACCACCTACCTGCAAATGTCCCAAGTTCTCCGTCTGGGGTAAGGTAGCATGAAGGGTGTCTCCTCACCCCAAGGCACCTTCTGGTGGCTCCATGTAGCGAGGTCGTTCTCCTTTCTTCTTGGGGCAACTGCCTCCTCTTGCGGGGCCAGCTCTGTCCAAGGGATCTCCCCTGCTGGGGTAGTCCAAACAGCAAATATAGGGGATCAATCAAGCCTACAGCTCATATTGGAGATGAATGCTTCCCTCTCAGGCTGTCCCTGTAGCAGACCCTCCCTTCCCTCAGAAAGGAACCTTTGGGCATTTATCATAGAATCACAGAAGATTAGGGTTGGAATAGATGTTAGGAGGTGATCCAGTCCAACCCCCTGCTCAAAGCAGGACCAACACCAACTAAATCATCCCAGACAGGGCTTTGTCCAGCGGGCCCTAAAAACATCTAAGGATAGAGGTTCCACCACCTCCCTAGGTAACTCATTCCAGTGCTTCACCACCCTCCTAGAGAAATAGCTATTCAGGGAGATATTCTGCCTTCCCTCAGATCACCTTCCCTATAGCTGCCAATAGCAGGTCTGCTCTCCTTCCTGCTCTGCCACAAAATGAGCTGCTCCCCTGTATTTTTGCCTTCCTTAAGCACTTCTCTTCACACTTGATTTCTCTGCCCCATTTTCCTGATCATTTACTTGTTGAATGTTTGGCTTCTTGGAACACCTTTTCAAATGTAGCTAAAAGTTCAGTGGCTGTGGAAAATAATACTGCTACTTTGTATAGGTCTGTGTCTCTGGGTTGTAGCAGTTTTGAAACAGCATTTACCATTTCCAGAAACTTTCTTTGGAGCACAATGAGAAAAACAAAACTAAAATTTTCTATTAATTTCTTTAATGCTGAAGACTCGTAAACTTCATTGGCCCTTTTACTCAGGAGAATAATTTCTGTGGGTGCCTTCCTTGTGTCTAAATACTGAATCTGAGAGGAAGAAGTGATTCATACTGGTTGTTGATCAACTGTGTAGTCAATTTCTTGAACAAGCTTTGATTTGTTATGAAATATGTTCAAGAGGGCAAATAAACAATGTCAGGTTTACTACTCTAACCCATTAATAAAATAATACAGGGAAAAGGTTTTATACAATATCAGTCTCTGGGAAGCCATCTCATGCAGTGATGTTACATTCACCTTATGCAGAAAGTGTGCTCCCCAAAGTCACACGTTTCAGCTTTTATCATTCATATAAAAATGTCATAAGTTACAAATCTCGTTACGCGTCACTAAAATCCAACGCAGGAGTTTGTCCCAAGTCCTTAATGTAAGTTAGGAACTATTGTGGGAAACTTTCCTGGCTTCTGCATTACCCCAGGGGAATTGGCTAGAGAAAGGGTCTGCGTCCCCACACCCACTCCCTTTACCCGGAGACCTGCCTCATCTGAAGGACTCCCCTTCCACACTCCTGTATGGAAATGGTGACCCATTCTCATCATAGTCACTTAGGACAGGGATTAGAGTGTCCTCACTCCTGGGTAGTCTCTTCACACTGGACGCTTCCCTGACCCACTGATCACTACACTAAGTTCAACCCAAAGGTAATTTATTAAACAGCAATTTTAAAAAAATGAAAAACTGAGAAATGTTCAAGGAAACAAGGAACTTTGCTCTGTGGGCATGGGGAACAAAACAAACAGCCATCTCTGGGATGTAAGACACTTTTCCAGTTTGTTCTTCACACAACCCATGCCTCCTGCCCAGGTCCTGGCTCTAAAGTGTGATGCTACCACAGGTTAGGGGGGAATAGCTCAGTGGTTTGAGCATTGGCCTGCTAAACCCAGGGTTGTGACTTCAATCCTTGAGGGGGCCATTTAGGGATGAGGGGGTTGGACTAAATGACCTCATGAGGTCCCTTCAAACCCTGATATTCTATGAAGTAAGGCATCTGCTCTGTCAGTGGCCACATACCCTCAGGCTCTAGGAAGTAGGACCCTTCTCCCCAACATCTGCTCTCCCTTCAGATTCACATACCCCCTTCTTAATCCATCCTTCAAGGCCTCCCTGTCTGGTAACATGGCCCCACTTTGCTCTCCCTAGCTTCTCATTGCACTTGGCTGTTGTGTTAGTTGTGGCATGGCCAGCATCCATTGTCCTGTCACTGTTGCCGCAGCTCCCAGATGTAGCTCAGCCCTGGATCCCCATTAGCACAGCTGGTCTGTGCTGACCCAGGTTTGGTCTGCTCCCGCTGAAGATCCCCAGCACTGTTGCTCTGCCTCCAGCTCAGCTTGAATGATTGCCGGATTTCGACTGCATTATTAGCCCAAAGGGCTAGAAGTCGCTCAATCTATTTCTTGAAACAAAAGGGTTTTTTTTTTTAATTAACACATTAGCCTATACATCAAGATCAGGATAGAAGATTTTATTAGATCTCTAGATTAGATCTGATTTTTTTTTTTAAAAAGCTACTAGCTCCTGCAGGAGTTGGTGAATATTAGCAACAAAACTGTGAGATGACAATCAAATTCCAAATCAAAATCCCAGTACTGGCACTTGTATCCCGATTGAGGATTGGCTGGTGTTTCAAACAAAAAACAGAGAATTACGGTATTAAATATAACCCCAAAGTAGCCGCAAACACATGTAGCTAAAAACAGCAATGACGTTATTATGTTATTTATTTCTAATGGCATTCGATGACGGAAGCCAATGTTGATATTTTTAGTTGAATTAGTTTGTTAATGTTAGTCTCTAAAAGGCAACATTTCACACTCACTGTCTTCACTGGGAGAAGAATGCTTCTGCTGCTGCTCATATATATCAGCAATGACCAGAACAATCACTTCTTTCATTAGCAAATTCTTCACAACAGATTTTCGTCGTTGCATATATGCCTTAATAAGAATATTTTCTAAAAGTTCCTCTAGTATCTTGTTGCACAGTTTTGTTTTTATCAAGTTCATCTGAAAAAAAAATCGTTAAACTGAAGCGTTGCTAAAAGGTAGCAACAGCAATGAGAAAGCAAACAAGCCAAGTTCACTAAAGTCTTTGTCCCCAGTGGCATTCATGTGTTCAAGATGTTGAACCCAAAACTGCTCTACTTGGCTGTTCTGAGTATGAGGTCAGTGAACCATAGGCAAAACTCTCCATTGCTGCTCCAACTGTCCAAAGTCTCCACAAACCAATGGCAAAAATGAGATATCAGCCAATCTAAGTTGTGCCGAGCTGAGTGCAGTAAAAGGACTTAATACTGCAAGCGATCCAATCACCTCGACATTTGGTGGCTATCTCTGTTTCATCTGTTTCAAAACTCCAACATGAAATCTCGACACCTATTTTAACATCTTCGACCATGTGAACTGTTAGTGTCAGTTTTGAGAGTTCCAACTGGAAAGCGACTCAATGGTTTTGGTTGTAGTTTAACATAGCAGTCCCGTTCTCAAAAATACATGGTTTCACAACTCTCACCAATAAGCTCTAGAAGGTAAATTTTACTCACCGGATCGCTGCATCTATGAAAAAGAAGTTCAGCATTGTTGTTTCTTTCTTTGTCTTTGGCTATGTAAAAGCGCAGCTTTAGTTTGTCAAACTGATCAAGAACCCTGTTCACACAGGGATTAATACAAGCCACCTTGCACCAGAAAGCCGCAATATCTTTTGGTAGTCTGGAAGTCATGGAAAGGCCAAGTGACAGGGTGTGTGGGGGTTGGGAGCTGATGGGTGATACTGAAAGAGGTCAGGTGATGGTCAGAGAGCGGGAACTCAGCTATGGAGAGAGCAGAGCTTGGTGATGGAGTGATAAGGTATTAGGTGTGAGGAATTTCTCGTACAGTGAACTTCCACAATGGTGAGTTAAGCCAAACTAGGAGAGAGCACCTGTGATTAACAAGGAGATATCATTTCCCCATCTAGTCAGGAAGGTTTAAAGTCAGTGCCCCCCGAGAGAACACATTCTGGAAGTGCATTTGACCACTTTCTCACGAAGTTCTTTGTTTTTGACTCCGTAAATGATAGGGTTGAGCATGTTGGGGAGGAGGAAATAGAGGTTGGCCAAAATAATATGAATGTGCGGAGTGATGCCCTGGCCGAACCTATGTGTCAGAGTGGAAAAGAAGAAGGGAGGATAAGACATCAACATCACACAGATGTGGGCTGTGCAAGTGTTGAGGGCTTTCTCGTGGGCTTTCTTGGAGGAGATTCTGAGGACAGCCCTGAGGATCAGACCATAGGACAGGGCAATGAGCATTAGGTCTAACCCTAAAACTACAAATGCTATCACCAAGCCATACATCCTGTTGACTGTGAAGTCCCCACATGACATCTTCGCCACAGCCATGTGCTCACAATACATATGGGGGATAATGCGGTTGGCACAGAATGACAGCCTGCTCAGGAGCAGGGGCAGGGGCAGAATGAAGAGAACAGCTCTTATCAAACCCAAGAGCCCTAGCTTAGCTATTCGTGCATTGGTGAGGATGGTGGCGTATCTCAGAGGGTTACATATGGCAACATAGCGATCAAAGGCCATTGTCACGAGGACGGCTGATTGCATAATAGAAACCGCGTGAAGGAAGAACATCTGGGTGAGGCAGCCACCCACAGTAATGCCCTTGAAATTGAACCAAAATATACACAGTGCCTTTGGCACGACGGAGGTAGAGGTGCCAATGTCTGTGAGCGCCAGCATGCAGATCAGCAGGTACATTGGCTTGTGCAGGGTCTCCTCTTTGCCTACAACAAACAGAACCATGACATTTCCAAACAGGCCCATAATGTAGAACATAGAGAAAGGGATGGAAATCCAGACGTGGGCAGCTTCTAGGCCAGGGATGCCCAATAGGATAAATGGTGAAGGATCAGAGGGGGTGAGGTTGAAAGCTGCCATGAGGTGGTCAATGCATCAATCGGGCTCAGACATGCTCAGGGTGCCTGTGAAGGGAGAAAAGCACAGGTAGGGAGTTACACACTTTATAACAAATATTTGATAATTATTAACAATCTAGAATGGGGGGGTGAGCAGTGAGGTGGCAACATTTGCAGATGGCACCAAATTATTTAGGTCATAGTCAAGTCCTGAGAAGTCCTCAGAGGGAGCTAACCCAGTCATGTGAATGGCACATGACCTTCAGTGTCAATAACTGCAACATGTATACCCATTGGAGGAAAAAGCTTGAACTCCTCAAACACCTAACAAGGATATAATTTAATTATATGAGCTCAAGACATGGACTTTGGTGTCAGGGTGCACAGACCTATGAAACCCTGCTCGCAGGGCAAGCAGGGACAGAAACTAAGCAAAATATTGAAATCCAGGAGGAGTGGGATGGGAAATCACACAGAAAATACAGTGCCATGAGATCAGTCTGACAATGTTTCACCCTCCTCTCATCTCCTCTGTGTAGTACTGGGCGCCCTTCTCACACAGGATATTGCAGAACTAGAGGGGTTCAGGGAAGGGCAATGAGAATGATCAAGGAGAGAGGTTGAAGAGACTGGGATCATTACCTTACAAAGGAGATAAATACGAGGGGATATGAAAAAAGTCTATAAAATACTGACTGGTAGAGAGTAGATTGAGAATGTGTTCTCCCTGTTTGATAACACAAGATCAAGAGAGCATTCAATTACACTGAAACATGGCAAGTTCAAAACAGATAAAAAAGAATGCTATATTCACTTGATGCCTAATTAAACTGAGAAACTAGTTGCCACAAAAGGAAGTTGAGGCCAGGTGCTAAGCAAGAACCAGGAAGGCTTTGGACCTCTACATGGATAGTGTCACTGTCCAGTTAGAATAGTTACAGCTACATGAATGTTTTGGAAAGCCTATACGACCACGTGTTTCAGGACACAAGCCAATCTCTAACTGTTAGGCATTCGGTTGACACCCTCATGATAGTCAGGTCATCCCCCTGCCTAAACCCACTTCTGGGTTTCTTATACTTTGTAGTGCAGCACCTGGGGCTGTCACTGTCAGAGAGAGGACACTGGACTAAATGGACCATAGGGCTGATCCACGATGCGGTTCCTATATTGGAAAGGAGCCAAGTTTCTCTCAGGGAAAAAGACATTCTCATGGTGGTCTACGACTTTGTACTCCAGAGAATGGGCATGGGGGGCACAAGTGTCGTGGTAGTTTGGACTACAGGCCGGCACCTCTATCACTTCCCTTGTTTCTTTTGGTGAGACACTTTCTTGCGGGCACCCAGCTTTGTCTGAGGCGTAAGTTACAGGTGGTAACTGACAAATGTAAGCAGAGACGTGTGTCAGCAGCTCACCTGCCAACCCTTCTCTTGCCTGAATATCAAAGAAGTTTGCAGATGATGCAACAATTGGGGGTTGATAAATAATGAAGAGGACAAGTCACTGATTCAGAGCAATCTGGACTGATTGGAATCTTGGTCGAAGCAACCAACATGTGTTCTAATTTAGCCATCTAAATATCTACATCTAGGAACAAAGAATGTGGGTGATGCTCACACGATGGGGGGATATCGTGGGAAGTGCAATGACCCTGAACTAGATTTGGGGGCAGGAAGGGATAATTAGCTAAAACAGGAGCTCCCAGTGTGACCATGTGGCCAAAAGAGCCTGAGATGATAACCGGGGAAATCTGAAGGAGAGGTAGAGATGTTATTTTACCTGTATATTTGGCACTGGTGTGACTGCTGCTGGAATTCTGTGTCCAGTTCTGGTGTCCATGACTAAAGATGGAAGTTGATACACTGAAGAGGGTTAAGAGAAGAATCACAATAATTAGTAAAAGAGCAGAAGACCTGCCCAATAGTGATAGACTCAAAGATCTCAATCTGTGTAGTTTAAGAAAGATGGTTAAGGGGTGACTTGAGTATAGTCTGTAAGTACCTACACAGGGAACCAATATTTAATAATAGGCTTTTCAGACTAGCATACAGGAGTGTAATAGGATCCAATGGCTAGAAGTTGAAGTTATAGAAATTCTGTCTGGAACTAAGTATGAGATTCCAGTAACTCTCCTGTCCGCTCATTTTTTATTCAAACGAGCTTATCCGTCCTTAGAGGCCACAGGATGACTCCAGTTGAAGTCACAAGGCTCATGGCTGGTGCAAATCAGGCTATTAATTTAAGTCCCTACATGTGGATTCAGGGTGAACTCCTGACTCTTTTCAGAGCTTTGCCATTGATCTCAATGGGATGAGATTCACCCTGAGTTTTTTACTTTTGGCTCCAAGCTGCACAAATCACGGGTTTGGGTCGTGGTACAGAAAGCACACTTCTGTAAGGGTGCTGAACGTGTATGGAGGGAACCCCCAGTTTTTGTGGGGTTCTGAGACTGGGCATGAAAGAAGGGGATTCCAAAACACGTGGGCCCCGATTTGGCTCTCAGAGAGGCCAGCATCAATCTGGAGTGACCCAGTGAAGGTCGAATGCGAGCGCAGAATCTGGCCAGTGTGCGGCCCATTCTTGTTGTGAACCCTCTGGTAACACAGATACCCACTGAAGAGGTTGTGTTTGCACTTCCTAATAAGGCAGTGAAGTCACTGAATTGGAAAAATTGAGTGAACCACAGGAAAAACCACACCACCCAAAAAAAGAAGATATTGAGACAGATAGAAGGACACAGTAAGAGACAAGGAATTGATCTTAAAAATAAATATTTGTCTAAACTATCTCCAGTGCATATTTACTTTCAATTTTACTGGGTAAATCCCTTAGTGTTTCTGACAATACTAAACAAACAGTTTAAGTCACCGTGCTAGTGAATTCCGGCCCAGATGGTTCCTGACTTGTACCCTGGAACCCTTCCTGAACCCTCAGCATTAACTTTAGTGCAGGAACAGGCAACTCACCGAAATTCTGCTCAGCAGAGAGAAGAAATCTCTTTATGGCGACAGGAAGGTAGAGCCCTAAAAAGCAAGATATGAATCTCACATGTCTGACACTTTCCATGTTGGGTAGCGATTTTTATGATTCCCCTGTACACTCCCTGCAGACTCTCAGGTTGGCAGGACTCCCAGACAATTCCCTTGGCTCTATGAGCAGCAGGAAGAGCAGAAAATAGACCCTGGAGAACTACAGCTTGAGAGCCTCCCCTGGGAGGCTCTCAAGAAATAATTTGCTGATACCAGGGGCTCAAGATTTTCAGGGTAAACAGTCTTGCAGACTCTTGTTCAGCCTAACATTGACAATGGGATTTTTTTTTCTGTGTATAATGTACAGTCATCTACACTATCGGTGGGAATACTGCCACAAGATATGGGACCAAAAATCTTTTTCAATTGATAGTAGCAGCGTATCGCTGCATACAGCCCATGCAGATACAATGTACAGTGCATTAGCCTCTGCAAAGTCAATGCCACTTGGTGAAGGCCAAATGAAGTGATACTTAATTGATTCAAGCCGTAGGGTATGGAAAAGGCTTTCTTCTCCCAGGATTCTGGCATCAAAGGTATTTGCCAGTATCCCTTTGTGAGCTCTAAAGCAGATATACATCTGGAAGCTCAAACACTTCTAATATTTCATCTCCTTTCTGCATCGTGTAATCATCAAATTTCAATATTGTGTTGATATTTCAGATATCGATGCAGAAAAAGGGTTGTGCCATCCTGTGTCAAAATTAGTACAATGGGACTTCTACTCTCACTGTGGTGTTTTACGTTGTGATGCCCTGCTGGGGTGAGAGCACAGGGGTAAAGGAATCAAACAATTGCTATATCTGGATGTTTTGTACTGGATACAGTCCCTGACACATGCTTGCATTACAGGTGCCTGTGGGCCTAATTTTGGATCCTGAAGGTATGAGTGCAATGGGTTATTGGCCCCGCGGTTGAGTCTGGGAGCCGTGGAAACTGCTGTGACCCTCTAACCACCCAGCTGGGCTCGCCCTTTTCAATACCGCTTTGCTAGTGATTCAGCGTCTCCTGGCCCTGTTATCACCCAACACGACAGCAGATGGTGCCACACACCCAAGCTGAGCTACCCGAGGGATTACTTAAGCCACCAAAGACCAATCAGCAGACACCTGGTGTTAAAGGGTTTTCCTTTCACCCTCTCCCTTTCTCTGACTGAATCTACCAAGATAAACACAAGTTGATGTTGCTGAGGATGTGCGTGGCTGTAATAACCAAGTGTGTGGCACTTGATGGACTGTTGTGCAGGTGCGCAGCTTAGAGGGAACATTGATCCCATCCTGGTGGCCATGGTCTCGATTAGCAGCCCTTGGTGATACGGTTTGTGCCCATGCGTTTGATTGCAGAACGCTGTGTGTGGATTGCTTTCTCAGACACATATCCCTGAAGTCTTTTAATGTACCTGCTGTGAAGACTGTTAGTAGCAACATTTCCAGGCCATGTCACACGTCAGTTTGCTCCGTGGTGTCAGTCTGCTTGGTGGCTTCACATTTTTGGAGGGAAACTCTTTGTTCAGTGTCATCGTCCTGGATCGATTGATGGTTGTTTTGGCCAGTGCCAGGGAAAGTCTGATGAGGTCTTGTGACTTCATAGTGTTACCCTGCTGGTAAGGGTGGGGTTCTGCACTGAGGGGCTTTGGTTAAGAGACTAGGAGACCCTCTCCATAAAACACACATTGTTTACTGAGTGATACTATAGCATACATACACAATAGTAAAAACATGCTCTGTATGGGTTACCGTAATCCTAACTCTATTCTTGCTACCAGGGCCTTCCGGATCACAAGGCTAGGGGTCCCTTGTTTGCTGTCCTTCAGTGTCTGAGGAACAAACCAACTCCCCTCTGTCTTGCCCTCTAATGCTCTGAGGCAAACAGCCCCCAGTGCATGTACAAACTTCAAAATAAACTCATCTCTAGACAAACTTTTCCCATTTTCCCACCAACAAACAATGGTAACCACCTACTAATTATAGCCATCGTCTATGAACTCTGGGCA